GATCATTTATGTAGAGAAGAAAAAGTAAGGGACCTAAAATTGATCCTTGTGGAACACCGTGCTTTATAATTCCCCAGTTTGAAAATGCATTATGACTGGAGTTTTTATTATTTATTTCAACTCTTTGATACCTGTTTTTGAGGTATGATTTGATCCATTCATTAGCTTTGCCAGTTATTCCATAGAAATTTAATTTCGATAGTAAGATATCATGATTAACACAATCGAAAGCTTTTGCTAGATCACAGAAAATCCCTCCCACAATTAATCTGTCATTGAGAGCACTTAAAATATCGTTAGTTAGTTACAGTTAGCTGTAGTTACAGTGAGTCTGTTACAGACTCATTGCCAAGATATGACTAATGAAGGCTGACAAGATTTAGCATGTGGAGATTAGGGATAGAGCTGTAATTAATTGTCGTTGCAAGCTGTATGTTGAAGTGACCAATAAACCCAATAGCTGATCCACCCTTTGTCTAATAATCACCCCTACACGTGGCATTATATTACAAATCATTAAAAATTTTTTTGCAATCATAGGTGACAATAAAATGGTATATCATCACAGGAAAATGAGTAAACAGTGTGTATCAGATTATTGGGCTCACATACCATGTTTCTGGTTTTTATATTTTCCAGCTTGATAAAAATCTGTGAACACAAAAGTTTCTGATGCTAAAACATTCAGAATATTTTTCAGTGAACATGAGTATGTATATTAACTTCACATATCCATTCTGAATTCTGTGAAATGTGGTTGCCCAGATATACAGCTACAGGAAAAAACAAAATTATATTATTTTCTCATTTATTTTTAACTCTGAAATACATAAGGTCAAATTTAGGAACCTGTCTCTCAAACAAAATGAATGTAAGTTTTGAGGTTTTCAGGGCGATGACTATGAAGAAAGTCGTCTTCTGGGTTTTGGCGCTGTGTATTCTTCGTTTTGGCCGACGTTCCTCCGAAACATCAGCCAAAACGAAGAATACACGGCGCCAAAACCCAGAAGACGACTTTCTTCAAAATGAATGCAGTTTGTGTCACTCAAAAACTACATACAAGCTAAGAAATCAAGAACTTAGTAATAAATCTGCAGCGGTAGACATTTCATTAATCTCTGGGCAGTAACAGAGCAATGAGAATAATTGGTATGAATTCTCATTGAAAGTAATTTTGATGTAATTCTGGCATTATGCAGCAAAATTATTCACCACCTAAAACAAGAAACAGGTGATGAGTTGCTAGTGATGATAGCATCGCTGACAGTTACCCTGGTATAATTCACATTGTGCATATGTTCCATCTGTGGGTTTCTGCAAAATATCTTGAGAAATGTCACAAGACTAAACAAACATAAAAGTGGATTTGAAGGAAGAGTGTGTTACAAGTTGAGGGTTTGAAGGAAGTCTCACAAGTGATGAAACTAGGCAGTTTTCTCCATCTTCACGTGGAATTGATATATTTTTGAACTCTGCAGCAGTTTTCTCAGATGCTAATTTAAAAAGTACAGACAAGTTTTAAATCTGCTAAAGTTATAGCACCAGAAAATTGCTAGGTTTTAATTGTCACATATCACGGACAAATAGCATACGTGTACTTAGATGTTTTGACAGCACAGAGAGGGTGGAAACATGTCTTACCACGAATATTCACTGCCAGTGGTAACTAATAAAGGGAGTATTATGATTGTGCAATACTGCATATTAATAATGAGCGAGGATCTGTGAAAGGCCAAAGAGCTATTCCATGAATATCATTTGTTGAACTTTTCCATGTAGTATTTTTCTTTTGAATATCTAAATACAGTTCCAGTGAAGGTCCACACTGGCATTGTATATACCTAGATAATTTATTAAATACTTCATTCAGTATACTAACAGAAAGTAGTGTTAAAAAGACGAGCATTTCATTTAATAGAAAACATATGTGATGCAACTTTCAGTACTTATTTTGGTANACAAAAAAAAATCACAAATAATATGTCTGAACACAAGTTTGGAAAAATGTGTGATTACAAGCGACACTAAGATGCTAGCGGAACGAGTGCTAAACACAGACTGATGTAGCAAGCGCACAGTCCGGGACTTCCCCTCTCGTCACTCATTATGCGAGTCATTTTTTACAATTTGTTTTGCTCGTTAAGCGAGGTTCCACTGTACATCATTCAGTATACTAACAGAAAGTAGTGTTAAAAAGACGAGCATTTCATTTAATAGAAAACATATGTGATGCAACTTTCAGTACTTATTTTGGTACGTTTATGTTTTCAGGACAGAACGAATAGCTTAAGAGAACAATATGAGAGGGATCTCGTGGATCGGCTACAAAGAAGGGAAATGGATCTCTGTACAGGTAAAACATAATGAAATATTAATGTAACTAACAAAATAATTGCTTCTGATGAAGATTGCAATGTTCTGGGATGCGACACAACATAGTCTGAAAAGTCTGCTAACATTTTGGAGGAACCTCAGTAAACTTCTACTGGACTACATGGCATTAACATCCAGGCAAACTGCAGTTGTCATACTCACATTCGTGAGAAGGTCAGACCTCACAGAAATATTTTTTTTCATGTATTTCATGAATTTACAGAAATTATTACCTAAGAGCACACATACAAATGATTAATGCAGACATAATCTCCACACTGCCTTAAAATGCTTATTTGAAGTTTGTGTGGAGTTAAATAAAAAGTAAAAGTTGTCTCTGTGTGTAACTAACTAAGAACTAGGCCATGAAGATGTTCAGGGGCATGGATGTATAGATCCACATTTTCATGACATCAGCACTTAATGGAGGTGAGTGGTCAGTTTCATGCCTCAGCAGCTTTATCACCAGGGAAGCAGCCCCTGGTACCCATTGCATGGTCTGGGTGGGCCCCAGAGCTGGTCTGGATGACGTAGAGAAGAGAAAATTCTTGACCCTACTGGAACTCGGAAGTCGCTGTATCTCCTGTGCTATACCAGCTCCTTACATTTGTCTGGAGGACAAATATTTTGTATTTCAAATGGAAGACAGGAGCCTGAAATGACTGTTTTAACTTCATTACATCAGTAACAGGTCACTAAATCTTGTTTACGTTGACATTTGTGCAGTGTAGTTTAGTAAAAGTAAATTTATGATGTATCATTTCCAGACACTATATGTGATGAACTCAGCAAGGTGAATGATAATTCTGAACAAATTGTGAAAGAAGCACTTCAAATGTATGATAGTATGATGACAGGCCGAATGGACTTTGCCTCAGAAAGTTTAGGTAAGTCATTTTGTTCAAGTGCTTAAGTGTAAATAAATATTAAATTTGTGACCTATATTACAGTTTCAACACACAAACAGTAATTGTGGCTGGATTTGAGGTTCTGGGATGAAATATCACCTAGTTTAGTGGAAGCAGAGCTTGCTGCCTGCTTCGTGATTGTTTCTTGCTTTGATTGTCTTTGGTCTTGAAGATGGAGGCAGTACATTCCACCAATATGCTGATGGACTTCTGCTGGATTATAAGGCTTTACGTTCCAGAAGATAGTATCCTTCAATAATTATGGTCATTCCAGCAGACAGTGAGACTTTCAGAGAACTTGTGAATTGTATGGGTAACAGTAAATTTACAGAGATCTCTGCCTATGATCAACATAATTTCCACTTGCTTTCCTGTGTAGGATATTAAGTTAATGGAAGTAATTCTAGTCAGTCAGTCACTTCTTCAGAAGGTTTTCAGTGACAAAAATGATAAGCCACAGATGAAATCAGTGATAACCAAATTGTGTTCAAAATTGAAGTCGTTCACAGGAAAGTACCGATACTGAAAGACAAAAGTACAATCAAAATTTTTATGGAAAGAGACTAAATATTGTACTAAGACAGACAAGGGACATCAAGCAGAAATAAATTAAGTATGAACTGAAATGCCGTAGTTCATAATTGTCCTGCTGACAGTAATTGCTGAATATCTGTTTACTTCTCAGAGAAGACACTGCACCAGGGAGTTGGTTAATTAATTAGAGAATTAACTGGCTAGTTGGTTAAGTAAGTATTTCATCCGGGCCTTCATGCTGAATGATGTAGCTCCTATACACATTTCAGAAGTATGTCATTATGATGGGAGAGATGTAGGAAAAAAGGAAGACGTTCAGGTGACCTCCAGTTAACACGATTTTCATACAGTCTGTCCGGAAAATAACTTATCAGCTCTGAGAGTTTTTAGAGAATCATATACCTACTTCCATTTGTACCTCTCTTTTCAGAAAACAAATCTAATGATTCACTATAAGAAAATATATATATCTGATGCTTATCAAAGTTTATTTTCATTTCATGGCTTGCAGGTGCTTATATAGTAAGTACACGTGATACCAAGGACTATGATTCAATGCAGTTGGGAACTGAGGGACGTTCAGTACAGAAAATCATACAGGTGTGTAAATCATGTAATTGTAATAGCTACACGGATGAGTCAGACACCTCTTTCAAATGGTAGATCACAATTTAACTCTCTGTCAGTCTTATATATATAGGTAAGCGGCCTCCTTAGTCTAGAGGTAATGTTCCCACCTCATGACTCGTGGTACGCGGGTTCAAATATCCGGCGGAGGTCGTCGAATTTTTAAGGGTGGAAAAATTCAGGCAACAAGTCCTCCGGGAGGGACTTTAAGCTGTGTGTCCCGTGTCGTAACTTTACGGCATGTAAAAGAACCTCATATCTCCAAAGGAGATCACTGAGCCAAATTCCAGGACTTTTCCCACCCAACAATGGTTTCTAAGGCCTCTGATAGATGGGGGAAGCATTACTTGCTCGGCGGGACTGATGGTACGCACCATTATCGGTAGGGTATAGAAACTGGTAGAATATCATAGAGGGAAGCACAATGGACCAATACTGGTCTAAGTGCATGGGGAAACCCACCCTCTCCAATAACTAACTAACTAACTAACTATATATCTAGGTAGGTGCTTGAATATCAGTCAAACAGAGGTTCTAATTTCACAATCCTATTTTCCATTCCCATGGAATACTTATTAATCTGAGAGGTTCATCTCAAGCTATCTGATATTATCAAAAAGTAACTTGTAACGAATGAAAGTTCAGTTTGAAATTTTAATCAAGAAAGCTCAGAGAATTCCATGGGTAATTTGTGTAACTTCTTTTGGCCAATATCACTTAAAATCTGATGTCTCCATGTCTAGTGTTCCAGATGATGGCCAAATAGCCTGAAACATGTGCATTAGGTGTGTTAAATACAGACATGCAACTTGAAGCATTTGAGAGTTCTGAAGATATAGAAACTTTCAGTGTGAGTTGCATGTGAGATGGCAGTGAATATGTGAATAAAATGTAGACAGTGCAATAGGATATTACAACATTGTATAACGTTATTTCTAGGTTACCTTGCTGTATTAAATCAGAATTAGGAAAAGCGCACACAGACACAATTTTCTGGATTTATAAGATATTCTTAAAACTATTTCTAGCATTTCACAATTGCACAAAAAGGGATATCCAGTTTTTTTATTAATAATTTGAAGACTCATTATCAGTGCACAAGATTATTTCCAACTTATTGCAGTGATGATGGTGAAGCACTGTATAAATTATCACCAGTTCTTGAGTCATGTTACATTTTTCTTTCTTTATGGTATATGAAGAGAAGAATTTGGGAAGAACTGTCAGTCAACTTGAAAGAGCCATTATTTCGCCCTATAATTGTTATTGAGTGGGAGAATTAGTCAAGTATCAAAAGTCACTCTGTAGAAATATGGTTTCATTACTATTATTAAGCATATTGTCACGTGTAGGAGGGCATGCGTGATGAAATGACAGGTTCTAGTTTGAATGACTGGATTTATTAACAGCTTGGTAACACACACACTCTCTTAATTAGAATCAAATTACAGTGCTATCGCTAATTTACATACACACCCCATAATCTGTGGTTGCAGTCACTGTCTCACACATAAAGTCTTCTAAATCACACTTGACATCCTCACAGGCAATCTTCTGTAGTCCTGGTTCCACTTCGCTTGCTTCCGCCACTCTCAACTACTCTTAACTGCTCGTAACTGCCTCAACAAAGTCAAAGTCACATTGTGACTGATGGCCAGTCAGTCTGTAAGTCTTCGTTTGAGAACCCTCCTGGGGCTCATGACCAGATATTTATTACTGTGTGACAGTTATGGCCTTTTTTTTTTGTGGGTGCCCTCTCTGATGAGATGACGGGGTCTCTTTTATATATGCTGCTGGTCCTTGCCAGCGCAGTCTTTCTTGGGTCTGAGTCCCTGTCTCAAATTTGAGACTTTCTTTTTGTCGTCTCCTACGACTCGCAGGGTCACGTTGAAGGTATTCGACCCCGCCGCCACACACTGTACTCTACTCACTGCCTCAACACTGATGAATACTCTCGTTATGTAGCTTCCGCGGTGACCACACAGAAAACAGCCTATATTGTTGGATGTGTTTACTGAGCTATTGTCCAGCAGTAGACTCCATAGGAACCAGTTATGCCATAGCTACCAGTGTTGTGTGATGTTGCAGCCTATTGTGAAGGGGTGTTTACCGATTGTCATGTAGTGACGAGATGAGTGGGGATATGTGACATCACTCGCACTTCCTGTTGCTCTATCCAGATGTTCACAGAGTTCTCACCTAGCAACACGCCGATACAACCCACAAGTCTCCTGTTGCATGCATGCCCCCAGGCCTCTGTGACCTAACAGTTCCTGCATAGAGCAAATACGCCACACTGCTCCCTCCTTAAGGCTGTTCGTCTTGAATAGCCTAACGGTGCATCCTCATTCCTTCTCTTCCAAGGGCTCTGCTTGCAATGTCTTCTGTTTCTATGGCTTGGTGTTTTTTTCCATTCCTGTTGTCCATTCTCCAACTGCTATATCCACTCCCTCCTTAAGACCATATCATCTCGAGCAGTTTTCTGCTAATGTGCCAGGAGATCCAAGTGTATCACAATCATCCAAAATGTCTCTTCCTTTCTATCTTTCTCTGTCTCTGTCTAGCCAGTGGGGGCCATAACTCCAAGAGTGGCCAGTGCTCCCACATATCTGGCTACTCTTACTCTAACACTGCTTTTTTTTCTCTTTGGAAGGGGCCGACCCCTCTACAAGATCCAGTTCATCATTCTTTGTAACCTGACAGATGATCTGGCTGCTCACTTCCCGAACTGCAGTCTGAAAGCTTTCCTGACGAACTCATCTGTTCCCCTCTTGATCTTTAGACGCAGCTGCCATCTTGTGCCTGGGTTCTTTAATTGCTTGCTGCCCTTCGGATCAACCTGAGGTCTTTTCCCGACTGTTCGCCATCTCAGGGCTCCTCTTGCAATGTTGTTCCTAGTCTAGTTCTTCTTGACGATGTGTCCCTTGCGCTGTGCCACTGTTGCACAGCGGGACACCTCCTGCAGGCAGCAGCCAATAACCTCTGAGATCCATGATCTCCTCGGGTTAGCAGTTGCACATGTTAAGTTACAGTGCTTCATTCTTTATTTCTGTGGGTTATTTTATAACTGTGATTAGCTAGGCTATGTAATGACAAATAGTAGGATGGCAGATGAATTGGAAAGGATTTGGAAGGAAGCAGTCATAGCCTAATCATGGAATTGTGTTGTCCTGGCCCTTGGTTATTATCACACCAAAATGTTTTTTCATGACCACTGTTACTTCTATTTTCTGTAAGTTAACAAAACTGCACCCTTTCAAAGACTAATCAGTGCGCAAGATATCCAGACCAAACTGTGCTAGTTTTGTTAATACCTCAGAAGAGATAGGAAATTAAGAAATATGAAGATAAGAACTTTGTTAGAGGTATACAAGAGGTACCCATTTCAGGAGGACTGAGATTTCACTGTCTCCTGAAAGCAACTCAAATCAACTCCAACTGGTATTGTTAGGCATGTCAGAGAGTTACCAGTGCACTTTTTTACACAGTTTTGAGGTTCTTCCTCTCTCCAAAAGATATCTGTGATAGTGAATATGAAGATGTCACATGAATACAGAACAAGATGGAAACAGAAAATAACACTTATCTAAACAGAGAAGTTTTGAAGGAATTCAAGAAAGACTGTGGGAAGAAGGGGACAAATGGAACACCCCAAGTTGTTTGACAGGCAATAGAGTATTTGTACAGGAAGAGAAGGCCAAAAGACAAGATGATAATTATGATGAAGTGGAATAGTAGTAGTAGTAATAATCAATGTCATGTCTTCGGGAACAAGAACAGAAGAGTTACAAAAAAAAACATTGTGGAGATTCACAAATGTTTACCACAAAATGTCTCCAATAATTCATTTCTCCATTTTTGTTCTTTGGTGGTTTATTGAATATGCTGGGTAATGTTTCTGTCTGTATATTACAGGGTTGTGTTGTGCCTGGCGAGTGCTGGGCATTCAAAGGCACAGCTTCTGTAGTTATTCAGCTAATTGGTGAGGTCAACGTTGAAGCAGTGTCAATTGAGCATGCTTCAAGTGCCCTGTTGTCCAAAGAAGAAATAAACAGTGCACCAAAGGATTTCTCTGTGTGGGTAAGTTCTTTGTACAGTTTTTATATTTACATAAGAGAACTTTTGCAAACAAATATAAGGTAAATGATACAACCTCNTTAAATATAAGGTCCTTAATTCATTATATGTGCAATTGTAGAACTTTAGCTACTTCATATAAAATTAATATCAGACATTGAGCCCTGAAGAGTTTCCCAGCATTTTATGGAAACTGCAGGTTAATTGTTGTGTTCACAAGAGCCCTCCACTGGTTCCTGTTCAGTGCCAGATGAATCCAGCCCATATCAGCCTATGCTGTCTCTCTAGTATCCATTTTAATGTTATCTTCCCATTTATGTGTAGGTCTTCCTAATGGTCTCTTTCCTTCTTGCTTTCCCACCAGAACCCTATATGCATTCCTCCTCTCCCCAGTGCTTGTTACCTGCCCTCAATGTCTCATCCTCCTTGACTTGGTCATTCTAATTATATTTGGTGAATAGTACAAGTTATGAAGCTCCTCATTATGCAGTTTTGTCCAACCTCCTGTCACCTCCTCTCTCTGTGGCCCAAATATTCTCCTCAGTGCCGTTCTCAAACACTCAATCTGTGTTCCTCCCTTAATGTTAGAGGCTAAACATAAAATAGCATTACCCTATAAAACAAATCATAGTCATACTCAGGGAATATTGAGCTTTGTAGTTAAGTTAGGCGGAGACAAGGCCCACATTAGATCGTCTTCATAAGAATTTGTTGATTTTTTATTTGTTGCTGTTTTATATTCAGTAATAATGACTGAACTAATAAACATAATTTATTCACAGGGATTAAATAGCCTTGATGTTGAAGGACACTACCTTGGAAGTTTCTCCTATGATATCAATGGCAGCCCTCTGCAGACTTTTACAATTCAGGTAACACACTGAGCAATACAATACATTGAATTAATAAGACAATTTTTGTTGTTGATTTCTGTTTTCTAATCTGTACCATTTCTTTCCAAATCAGGAACCACCGGAAACCCCATTCCATTTAATTGAGCTCCAGATTCACTCAAATTATGGGAACCCAACGTACACATGCCTTTATCGCTTCAGAGTGCATGGCAGTATGACGTATTTTGGACAAACACAAACACAATCTCAAATTGAAAGTGAATAACAGTGTGTTATGTGTTTTACTTGGTATTATCTTTGAATTTATTCTTTAGTATTAGTTTCTATAATTTATTATTGTATATTTAAACTTTCTGAAATAAGAAATATTTGTTTTTATAATTTATAATGTACAATTGTGTTCCCCTATATTTCTGATAATGCAGATAATTAACAATGTAAACATAGTGCAATGTCACACTTTTTACAGTAGTAGAGCGTGCTTCTGCGCTTCTTATTCTGAGAACAAATACGATGTCTTTGTTTTCCTTTGGTTGGCCAGTGTTGTGAATGTTTCACCTCCAGTCAACGCAGTTGGGCCCCAGATGAACTTGGCCTCCCCCGAGAAACGTCACTGACCGTGACATTCGCCTCATGCGACTGAAGAATCAAATCCCGCACCAATATTTCGCGGAACTTTTTGTGTGTCATTTTTCCACCACATGACTTGTGTAATAGATATGCATTTAGAATACTCATATCTAGAAGGTGGAAAAACAATTTCTTTGTCCACTTCCATGTCCTCCTAGCAATGCCATAACTGTTTACCATCCTGTCAGATTTATCAACAAAGCCCGTGTGTGCATTGAAGTCTTCAATTACATGGGGTTTGACAGCATGGCCAGATTCATCTCGGAAGTTGCCTTCCAATGGAGGGGGGTGAAAATTCATCAGAACATACACATCACGCTTGTCTTTCCAACGAACAACACTTAGATGCCCTTTGACTCTTGTAACAATAACCCCTTTTTTTCAATTTCATTGACTTTGGCCGAATTTCTTGTGGCATTCCACGCCTATCATTGCGAACGGTGCCACATGAATTTATTTTCCTGTCTAAAAGATCATCAAATAAAGCAGGAGAACTGAAATAATTGTCCATGTAAATTTTGTGTCCCAAGCCTTCTACTCTTCGAATTAGCTGGAGAACAATGCCATGTGTCGATGTAATTTCTTCTGTCACAAGTTGCCTTTGTTTGCCCAAATAAACTGTCATGTCATAAGTATAGCCAACAAAATCGCAAAGCTTGTAAATTTTTATACCAAATCTCTTGCGTTTCTTTGGAATATACTGACGAAAAATCACTCTTCCTTTGAACAACTCTATGACTTCATCAACAGCAAGACGTTCTGCTGGATTATAAAGTTCACAAAATTTGTTGTTGAGATTGTCAGAAATTTTTCTAATTTTCCAGAGCCTATCATACTCTGGATCATCTCTATTGGGAGGAGCTTCATTATTTTCAAAATGTAGGAATCTCAAAATATGGAAGACACGGTCTCGT